AGCGTTCCAGATGTCTCGGGGCCGAGCGTTCCAGATGTCTGGGGGGCCGAGCGTTCCAGATGTCTGGGGGCCGAGCGTTCCAGATGTGTGGGGGGCCGATCGTTCCAGATGTGTGGGTGGCCGAGCGTTCCAGATGTGTGGGGGCACAGTGTTCCAGATGTGTGGGGGCACAGCGTTCCAGATGTGTGGGGGCCGAGTGAGAAAAGGCTCTGTGTCCCATGGTGCTGAGGAGGACCAGAGGAAGAACGAAGGGAGCGTGAATGGGTGATGATGTGCAGGAGATGGGACAGATGGGGGGGTGGAGGTTATGGATGGCCTTGCATGTGTCCAGCAGGATTTTAAATTGAATTCTGAAAGTGACTGGAAAGCAGTGAAGGTGCAGTAAAAGTGGTGATGTGGTGAAATGAGGGGTGTTGGTAAGGATGTTATGATGTTTGGAAGGTGGAAGTGTGCAGAGCGGGTGATGTTATTGATGTGGGAGTGAAAAGAGAGAATGACAGCCGGACTCTGAACGTGAGGGGAGGGACAAACCATGGAGCTGTGAGTGGTGAGGGACAACCTGTCGACTTTACATCTGGAGGATCATCTACGTTGCAATGTCTGACTACAGTTGCTAAAATGTTTATTCGTGTTTGTAAAGTGGAACAAACCGGTAATGTTTGAGTTGCTAACAATTTGTCTGGAGGTTTATTTTTGTGTCACAGCTTGCATGACGGCACGTGTGGTTTTAGCTAAACACACAGAGTGTGTTGTGCGTGCCCAGTGTCACACTGCTCCTTTAACCCCGAGTTACAAGCGTGCTTCGGTTACACTCTGCATTTATCTGTCACTGCTGCGGGACCGACCGGGTCCAGTCAGGGTTCTTCAACTATTTTACCATTTGATGTTTTCAGTGAGGTACAGCATGAAGAACGACATGCTTCAGTGTTGCAGCCTCCTCTTTCACTTCATGTTCATCCAAGTTACTTTTGTGCTGTTCTGGTCATGTTCACAGTGTAAACATGACACTGGACCCACTGGAGCACATCGTTTCCCAGTCTGTTATCCAACGTGGGCAGCCAGCCCGCACAACATGCTTGCCCACCCTCCCATAAGAGTCATGGCATGTACTAAACGTGTGTACGTGTTTGCACGTGACACTGTGGCCGAGGGAGATGAAGTCCTCATCACTCCTCCTCCTCATGCTGTGTCAGACCTTCTGGGACTTTACTAACTGAACTTCAACACTGATGCATCCAGACACACCCAACTTGCACATGTGCAGTCACATGTGCAGTCACCTGTGCAGTCACATGTGCAGTCACCTGTGCAGTCACATGTGACTGCACTCGCAGTAACTAAGCGCGCCCCGTGGAGCTGCCGCCACAGGAGAGCTCACCGTTAGAAGATCTCTGTCAGCGAGACCATTTCTGATTTACTTCTTGAAATTAAGAAGTTTTAAAACTTAAGGTTTATTTGTGTCCAAGATTATAAGAAAGGTGTGTCTCAGCTTAACTTGACCCCCCCCCCCAACTCATGATGTTTTCCCTGTGACAGAGTCAGTCTCAAGTGTTGATCGTACACATCTGCAAAGTTCATGTGTAAAAGTTTTGATGTGTTGAGATCGTTGAGATGTGACGTAACTACATGAGCTGAAAATGTTTGTTTCTGTTATTTAACCAGGAAAAATAAGTCGTGAACATTAAAAACCTCCTCTCCGGGAGTGAAAACTTTGGAATATAATATTAAAAATGATTGTACAAAAACATGAATGAATTGGTGATTTTAAGAGCGTAATGTGAGTGTGGTGGTATAAAGTTGTTTTGGATGGAACTCCCTGCGCTCTACATGATGGTTGTGAAAATAAAAGTTATAAAAGAACGATCCGTCGGTGTCAGACTCTGGGACTTTAATGGCTTGAATCATATTTTGGTTCTTGAACGCTCAGGCTGATGGACTTCCTGTTGCTGAAACAACTTGGACAATACGAAGCACATGATTGGTCCAGACACTGGCCCACCAGACAAACATGACACCGTCATGTAAATGTCATGTGTGATTCTTATTTTTAGTTTCATTCATTCCAAAACGTGTGAGCCACCTAAAATATTTTAATCCTCAGAGTTTCAGTGAATGTTCTTAGAGAACCCCGGAGAACAAACCTGCAGAACGAGTCACACGACTTGCACAACCACGTATTGGTTCTTCTTCGTTTCCACTCTTTATTAACAACAACTTAAACACTGGAACTGAGGGGGCGTGGTGGCGCAGAGGTTGGAGAAGGCGAGCCCGCGCTCAGAAGGTCGCTGGTTCCACTCCCTGGACCGACGTCAAAATGTGGGTGGGAAAGGTGAACCTGCTTCCACCCTCATTTGCCCCACCCAAGGCCTTAACCCCCATCATCAGCTCCCTGGGGGGCGCCCTGATGGCAGCTCTCTGCTCCTCACAGGCTGTGGTAGCTCGGTGTCTGCGGTTGAAGAACACGTGGTGTAAAAACAGTCTTCATGAGAGTTCCATCGACCCCCGAAGAGGGAGCAGCTGAAAGGAACCCCCCCCCCCACATCCCAGGCCTGAAACAGGAGAAGAAGCATTAAGTCATGATTTGTATCGTTTGATGGTTAATTTGAGATGATGAAGTTTCCAGCACATGTTTAAGATGATCTCAGTTAATGTTTGTCATCCAGTTGTAAAGGAAGCAAACTCCCACGACTTAAAGATAAATGAATCAAAGCTGTCTTGGCTTTTAAACATTTTTGACCACAGGTCTCTTCTTCATAATTAATGCAGTTAGAAGTGAGACCTGAGCCAATAAGTGATCCGGCCTGATCATGTGACGGATCAGCTGTTTGGGGGTTGCTCAGACATCTTCGTGGTTTTCTTCCTGAGCTCGGGTCTTTTCAATGACCAAACCCGAGGAGTTTATCAAACGTGAAGAACCTTTTCTCTGGATGCCGACTTGATTGAGCCGCTGTCTGTTTCAATGTACAAGATGCTGTTTTTAGTCGGGGGCTGCTCGATGCCCTCTGCTGGGAAACGTTTCACTGACGTGAACTCGTGTCTGTTTCAGGACGCACAAAGTTGAGCTCGGTGCCAAACAGGACGTGAGCAACATGGACGACCTGAGCGTGGAGCAAATGGCTGCAAGAGCCAACCAAGTGACGGACGAGGTACACGCATGTTGTCTGCTCTCACACGTTTCATCACCAGATACTTTCTGTTGCTGGGAAAGTGCACGTTCTACAGAGAGGATGCAGGAAGTCTGGCTGCTGTGCTGAACAGCAGCTTTTTATGGAAGGATGTTTATCTAGGGCAACAACACTAATGCACATCTGTCAACTGATCCACACGTCCATTGCAAAAGAGATGTGATGTGATGTGACCTGCTTCAACAAAGGTCAATAGAACATAAAATGGAAGCAGCACAGTTCACCTGGCAGGTTGACCATAAACACGCCTAGTTCCACATTCTGCAGCGCTTCTCCACATCACGTTTTCATGGGCCACATCTGGTCCAATATTCATGCAGATGTGTGTGGAATATTGTGAGTAATCCGCTAAACAAGCCGTGACAAACACGTCCGCTGTTTTACAGATGTGCTCATCACTGACGAGCAGTCGTGGATTATTGAGCACGCATCAGGATGGTCAGGACCATCACAAGCAAATCACGTTTTTCAAATGTTCCAGCTCACGTTGGTAAATGGAACTGGTTGTGAAACAGTAACGATCAAATAAACACATTAAATAAATGTTGATTCAAACTTAAAAGTACAACACTAATAAATGTACATCTCTTTACGTGATTGATCGTAGCATGAAAACTTCAAACTGATCAATTTCTAATTTTCATCCAAACAAAGGTCGTTTAGAAATCTGTTGAAAATGACTAAATGGGGAAGTTGTGTGAAATGTAAATAAAACGAAAGTGCAATGATTTACAAATCTTATGGAGGGTACTTTAGACACATTGGATCATGGTAAACATGCTAAATGCTTAAGCTAACAAGCTGCACACGTTTTAGAAAACATGAGGTGACTTTGAATCTGGTTGCAGCAACACGCCTCAGGAAAGTTGTGACGGTGCAGTGAAAGGTTTTAAAAGTAAACGGTACAAATAAGAAAAAGCTGAAGGAACTTTTTGCAACTAATCGGACTGGCAGAGTGCTTTGGATCAGAGCCCGACCCAAATGGAAATTTTAGCTATCGCTGAAACCGATATAATGGCTGAAAATCTTTGATCTTTGTTCACCCCCAAGAATCTAAGAAAACAGTGAGTGGGGCGGGGCTTGTTTATTTAACGCAGCTGTTAGCAACCATGAAGCTAAGCTAATCAGATCCAGCTCTACGTGGTCCCACAGCAGGTTTACAGGTGGAGCACTGGTCATAAAACCAGTCTTACTAACGTGCGCTCACATTTTCTATCCTCCACTATTCACCATAAAGTTATCAAGTGTGTTACATAAGTATAAATTAAACAAAGAAACGTTCTTCCTGTTCACTGTTTAAACAGTCACGTATGGTGAAGGTCTAATTAGCATTGACCGCAGCAGAGTTTACTTTTATTTGTAGATATCCTGATGCATGCTCAATAATCCAGGTAGAAAAATCTAAAAAAGTTAAGTCTGGTCCTCTGGACATTCAAAAAAACAAAAAACAAAGCAAAACAACAAAAAATGTAGAAACGTTTCGTCTCTCATCCTGAGGACTTCCTCAGTCTGAGGTGCTGTATTCAGCTCAGTCTCTTAAATAGCACCTTCTCAGAGTGGATCAACCAGTTTTGCTGCTGACAACCAGAACCAGCAGCTCACATGCTCAAGAAGGACCATCAGCCTAACAATGGATCATTAACACCTGATGGCTGTTTACTGTTCACAGAGGGCTGAGTGATACTAGCAATCACAGCATTGTAAGAGGGGGACAGTTGAACCTGGAGGCTCCACCCCTGTTTAATGATGGACGGTTTCTTTTCACAAAGATGGCCTCCTTTACTCCTCTCTCAAACCATCGTTCCTCTCTATCCAGGATGTGAACATCTTCATCCTTGAAAGAGTGAGCAATATTATAGGCAGAAACATGGGTGTGCTATGGGGTCTCCAGTTTCTCCTATTGTTGCCAACCTGTACATGGAGGAGGTAGAAAAGAGAGCCTTGACGTCCTTTTCAGGGACACCACCAAGTCATTGGTTCAGGTATGTTGACGACACCTGGGTTAAAATCAAATCTCAGGAAGTCCAACATTTTACTGACCACATCAACTCTGTGGATAAATACATCAAGTTCACACGAGAAGATGTAAAAAATGGCAAGTTGGCTTTCTTGGACTGTGAGGTCTCAGTCTCTGATAGAGGACATTTGCAAACTGAGGTGTACCATAAACCCACCCACACAGACCAATATTTGCAGTTTGACTCCCATCACCCTTTGGAGCACAAGTTAGGAGTCATCAGGACTCTGTACCACAGAGCAGACAGCGTCCCCACTAGCTCAGGAGCCAGGCAGAAGGAGAAATCCTACACAAAACAGGCTCTAGAGAAATGTGGATATCCTAACTGGGCCTTCCTGAAAGAAGAAACCCAAACAGGACTCCAGTCAGCCATCAGGTGAAAAGGAGGAACCCAGACCCAGACCAGAGGTCATTCCGTATGTTGAGGGAGTATCAGAGAAACTGAGACGTTTGTTTTCTAAACATAACGTCCCAGTGGCTTTTAAACCCCAAAATACATTAAAGACTGGTTCATCCCAAAGATCCAGTCCCCCGGCACAAACAGAGTAATGTTGTGTATGCTGTTCAGTGTCAGGAGGGTGATCAGTCTTACATCGGGGAAACTAAACAGCCACTGGCCAAAAGGATGGACCAGCACAGAAGATCAACATCATCAGGCCAGGATTCTGAGGTCTACACTCATCTCCAGGCCAGAGGTCACTCTTTCAGGGATGAAGATGTTCACATCCTGGACAGAGAGGAACGATGGTTTGAGAGAGGAGTAAAGGAGGCCATCTTTGTGAAAAGAAACCGTCCATCATTAAACAGGGGCGGAGCCTCCAGGTTCAACTGTCCCCCTCTTACAATGCTGTGATTGCTAGTATCACTCAGCCCTCTGTGAACAGTAAACAGCCATCAGTGTGCTAATGATCCATTGTTAGGCTGATGGTCCTTCTTGAGCATGTGATCAGCTGGTTCTGGTTGTCAGCAGCAAACTGGTTGATTCACTCTGAGAAGGTGCTATTTAAGAGACTGAGCTGAATACAGCTCCTCAGACTGAGGAAGTCCTCAGGATGAAAGACGAAACGTTTCTACATTTTTTTTTTTTGTTGATTTGCTTTGTTTTGTTTTAATGTCCAGATGACCAGATTTTACTTTTTTAGATTTTCTTTGTAGAGAAGTAAAGATTTCAGACAAACGATGCATTTCATTGAAGACCTCAAAAGTTAACATTACATATCAGTTAAAATAAACTTACCAACGTACCATGTTCAGCTAAATATTCTGCACAGTATTGCTCGCTGCTTCATCTGAGCTGAAAGTGAAACTTAAGTGAACGGTCGTGACTTGAAAGTTGTCTTCATGCGCCCTCTGCTGGATACTTTGTACATTTATATCTTTTGCAAGTAAGGACACTGCGCCGATATAAACACTGGAAACAAGCTGTGTGGGACAGTATGGACGGACAGATAGATGGATAGATGCATACTTTCTTGATTTATTTATTTATTGATAAATTGATAAAACAATCAATCCCCCTGGGGAAATTTGAGATATCGATACCAAACGCCTATATTGGCCTAAACTATCGGCCCTACCTATGTATGGGTGGGCCTGTAGTGTGCAAGTCTTACAATGACTTGCAGGACACAACATATGGACGCGTGGCCTTTTATTGTGGTCAGCCTAAGCCACACCTTTACATCAATCAATCTGTCTCATCAGCATCTTGATCTGCCACACCTGTGAAGTGGATGAATTGTCTCGGCAAAGGAGAAGTGATCACCAACACATTTACACAAAACTGTGAACAATGACAGAAGACGTCTCACATGTTTGAGTTCAGCTCGTGAAAAATGGGAGCACAAACAAAAGTGCTGTTTATAATTTGTCGTGTAATCTTTTTTAAAGTACCTTTTTTTTCCTCGTTGATTAGAAGCTACCGTACTTAAGTCTCATGAAGTATACCAGTAAATGTTTTAGCCAAAGAAGTATTGGATCATACTGCACTTGAAGTCAGCTGGTCTCTTTAGTGCATTTTGTTTACGGGTGTAAATGTTTTCAAATCTCTTGTTCTGATCCTTTTCCCTCCACAGTCACTGGAAAGCACACGGAGGATGTTGCAGATGGCAGAAGAGGTGAGGACACTTGTTCTTGTTGAAACCAGACAAAGCCTTGTTTTATTCACCTAAACGTGTTAGAAACCTCTCAATCGGTGTGTCATGATTAAATAAGAGCAGTTGACGGGGGAGAGGGCGGGCCCCGGACTCCATCTTAGCACCACAAACTTGTATTTTCCACTCTGGATTGTGCTGTTGCTGGGAATCCGTTTTGTTTGGCGGCTCCTCAGATTGAAGAAGTCCTTGGGATGATGGATGAAACGTCTCGGCATAAAAAAACCAAACGTCCAGATGACCTGACTGAACATCGTTGGATCCTGATTGAACGTTTCACTTGGTCCTTGAACTGTCCCAATAATCCTGCATCATAAATGGGGTTAAAACAGTTAAACAGGAGAAAGATATTTTACTATCAAACTGTGATTTTCTGTCTAAATGTTGTCATGAGAAGTTTCTACAAATCCAGTGCATCTTCTTCTCTTCTCTTGTTCTACGTGGCCGTCCATACAAACTGTTTGACACTCGTTTTCTAGAGCAAACAGACGGGGGCCAACACCATGGAGATGCTGGACCAACAAGGAGGTGAGCAAACATTCTTCTGCTGCATTGATTTCATAAGAATATAAATACTGAAGTACACGGCTTCACTTTGATCCACTTGACGTGATGTCAAATCTTTAGGTAGGTGCCAGATATTAACGATGGCTTAGTGGTCAACACTGTTGTCTCACAGCAAGAAGGTCCTGGTTCAATCCCCACTTGAACCTAGTTGTTTTTTAAAGTCTGCATGTTCTCTCTGTGCTGCGTAGGTTTTCTCCAGGTACTCTGGTTTCCTCCCACAGACCAACAAGTTGCAGGTTACGCTGCCTTCAGGCCCAGCTGCAGCAGCTAAACCTGCTGACCCTTGGTGCTAATCACCATCCATCCATCCATCCATCATTCCATCCTTCCATCCATCCATCCATCCTTCCATCCATCCATCCTTCATTCCATCCTTCCATCCATCCACCCTTCCTTCCTTCATTCCATCCTTCCATCCATCCATCCATCCTTCCATCCTTCTATCCATCCACCCTTCCTTCCTTCATTCCATCCTTCCTTCCATCCTTCATTACATCCATCCATCCTTCATTACATCCATCCATCCGTCCTTCATTACATCCATCCATCCGTCCTTCATT